GCTGGGAGGATGCTGCATCCACCCCAAATTTCACCACCACTCCACTCCCAGCACTGCCACTGGCAGCCACCGGGGCAGCCCTGGCTCTTCCTGGCACATGGGTGGAGGCTGGGTGTTGAGCTGGGGCTGTGCCAGGTGGCTGGCAGCGGTGGCACTGGGAATGAAGTGGTGGTGAAATCTGGGGTGAATGCAGCATCCTCCTAGTGCCACTGATGCCCACTCTAAGCCCAATCCCCGCTAAGATGACCCCGCGCAGCACAGGCTGCAGCTCGCCTTGCCCTGCACAGATCCGGGGGAGGGTACATGCCCCTCCGTGCCCCCCGCCCCCGTGCCCTCCCAGGGTGCAAGCAGTGGCAGAAGCAGCCTCCCCCTCCCTACAAGCCGCGGCTCCAGCCCCACCTGGGCAGTATCTGCCCCCTCTCCCTCACCACGGGGAAGTGTTGATCTGTGCCCCATGCCCCTTCCCTCTGCCCTCCCTTTCCACCCACACCAGACTTACCATCTGGAGGCAGCTTTCCTTGCTGCCGGCTCTGCTCTTCGCTGCCTGAGTGCCGCGCTGTGGCTGTGCACAGCAGAGGTATTTATTGGCCAAATTATCGGCCCCTTCTCCAATACAGCCAATTTTCTTTATATTAGTACTGATCTGATATCAGACCAATATATCTGTGCATCTCTAGGAGAAACATTGTACTAGAGAGAGGAAGTGATAAGAAAGGAAGCTGTGGAGGCAGCTGAAGCAATGGTTACTACAAAATGGGGACCAAAAAAGAAGCAAAGATGCAGAGAGTGCTTGAGAACTCTGCAGGGTAAGAGGAGCAGTGAGGTGAACAACAAGTGACACCAGGACCCAACTGGGAATTCTAAGTAGCTTGTACTGCTGGAGCAGAGAGGAGGCAGCTTGCAGAAAAACAGCTTTAAAATTCTGGGTAAGCTAGGGCAGCGGTGTCAAACATACAGCCTGTGGGCTCAATCTAGGACCCAGAGCTAGGTCACCTGGTTCACAGTCTTTGCCCTGACCCCGGCTGCAATGGGGAACCTTTCTACAATGACAGCCAAGCCCCTGGGTGACAGCCACAGTACTGGAGCCCCAGCAGCACCATGGGAACAAGCCTGCTACCATAGTTTGTTCCCACAGTAGCAGCCAAGCACCCATGGTACCAGACTTCTTCCCATGTTATTGATGAGGCCCCAACACTGCGATTCTCGCCCAGGCACTTGGCTTCTGCTGCCATGGAAAGAAGCTGGGGCTCAGGCCCTGTAGCTCTTGTCTGCTTGGCTACCAAGCACCTGAAAGAAAGCAAGGATTCCTGAGCCCCCGTAGGTATGGAAGAAGCCAGGCACCATGGTTTGTTCTCGTGGCAGTTGCCAAGAATGGGGTGTGCAGGGCTTCTTTCTGCTGGTCCCTGACCACCTGAAGCAGGCACCATATGTGGAGCCCAGACCAGATCGGCTCTGCACAGTGCTGCATCAGGCACAGTCCTGGACCTGCTGGAATGAAAGTGGTAAGCTAGATACAGCTTTTAGGGGCAGGGGCAGGGGTAGGGGCAGAGGCAGGGTCAGGGACAGAAGGGTCCATGGGCTGGAGCCAGCCCTTCCTTCATCTGAATGATGGACCAGTCTAACACCATTCATCCAACACATGCTGAGTCATATTTGACACCCCTGAGCTAGGAGTAAGAAACCATGTAAAAACAAACTAACAAAAAACCCCCCAAATACCACACTAGGAGCTGGGCCACAGACAGTCCAAATACTCTCATAATACATCAGAATCCAAGACTGGTGACTTACAGTAACTGGAGGGAAGCTTAGTCAGAGACTGATCACTAAGAAGTATTTGATAGTACGATGTAATATAATGACCTTCCTTCCCTGCACAACTGGGGTAACTCTTAACCACGAGGAATTCTCTTAAGCAACTTGTCTGACTGAGGCCAAACTGACTTTAAAGTTGAATGCAACAAGTATATTCTGCTGCATGAATTATTAGAACTACATAATTCAACAATGAAACCAGCAAAGGAAGTTTTTGTAGTAAGAACTACTACAAACAAACAAAGGAGATTATTGTGGAACAGAACCGGTAGGTTCAATTTACTTATCAACAGCATATTCAGTTTTTAGTTCAATCTGCAGTTATGGAAAAGAGGACACTAATACAGCTGTATTTCTCAGGGATATAATCTCCCTTCAGCTACCAAGTCCATATTAAAACTGTCTATAAAGTAAACATGAAACTTAATATAAAACAAAGTTATATTTACAACCCTTTCTCAAAGCCTATTAAATCCACAGAGGAAGCCAGGCAGAGTGACACATTATAGACTAATGCCTCTCTGAATTAGTCTACAAAGTGCACCGTGATTGCTTTCTGCCTGATTTCAGATTAACATGGGAAACTACCTCTATTAAATACTTGCTAAATTTTTCCTAAACATGGTACTCTGAATCAATTGTTTTGAAATCAATGGAAAATTACCATGTCGAAATATGTGCTTGGCAATAGGGAAAAAATAGCTTATTTCACAAAATATAATTTTACCATACATTGATTTTTTTTAAATAGTTCTCTAAAGGAAAGCTGTCACTTGAAAAAAAAGAAAGAAGAAAAACACCTGACCTTTTCTTTAAAGTCACCATAAAAATTTAAATTGCTTCAAAATAAGGAAATTGAAAACTATGGCTCTCACAAGATGAGATTTAAAACGAAAGCCTTAATAGTACAAAAATCTATATATGCAAAAGAGTTTGAGTTAAGCCTTCTGTAGATACCATAATTTAGGATTTCCAGATTTTTGTCCAAATTCTACCCAAAACATTCATTAACATGAAGTGCATAATTTTCACATACATGCATTGATATATAAATTTGATTTGTTACATTCTTAAGGACTAAATAAACTTGCTGTCAACTGCGTAACAAAATAAGTCATTCTGCTCTAAGTCTGTTTGTGCTGGATGCCTCGGCTAGCACACAATATTATGAAGCGTTATAATAAATACCAACATGGGGAGAAATGGTAAAGCCAGGAAGCTTACCTGCTAGAAACTAGCATGCAGTCAATGTCTGGTCTCTTTGTCTTTGGGATGGCATAAAGTGGATATCTATCCCCATGGCGAATCAACACATGGACAGACACCAGTTTAAAATAATGAGGTACCTGACCTATGTCAAATAAAGAATAAAATTAAGTGCCAGTCTCTCTATACTCTCCCAGTGTTTCTTAATTTTATCCTTCCAAGTGAAAAATCCATGTAATATTAATGTACTGTACATCAATTTATTCAGTGCTGAACAGAATATAAAGCAGTGACAATACTTTATACTGAAGAATTTATTTAAAATAAAGTACTAAAAAAAGAAATCTATACTAAGCTCTAGGAGCTTAATGAAGAATTAGTACATGCAGCATTCTAATATTAAATAGAATAATTCCTCAAAGGGGATTCAGACAAGGCACCACCTAAACATCTTTTATTCACCACTTATTTATTCTGGGAAGCCTTCCATCTCTCCAAAATCTTTACTGAACACATGCCTTTCATAGCTTACCCATGAGGTACCAAATTTGGACTGGTTTGGATCACATTTATTGGCTTTGATCTTTACCTCAAGTTTATCTCCTGTACAGACTGACATATTTGCCAGTTAACACTGCCATTTACATTAATAGGAAGCATGGATATAGGCATTTAAGCTACTGTGGGGTAGGCAGTCCAATGCATGCCTTTGCCCTCAACTGAATATGGAAGCTGCTTCACCTTCTCCATCTGCTGCTTTGATCATTGTCTCTTTCCCATGGTTCCCACTAACTTGTCATTTTAGAGCAACTGCTCAAACTGACTGATCCTGCCCTGAACTTACTCAAATTTCTCAGAATTAGGAAGTAATTATAGTTTCAAAAGGTGTTAAAACAAGGTGCTAATTATATTTTAAAACCTATTCAATCTATAACCTACAGATCTTGTACGGTCTTATAAATAAGCAGTTGACTGTCAGCAGAACCTTTAAAAGTCCCCTTCAGTAAGCATCTCCAAAATCAACACATACCAGCAAATGTACAGAGGGAAGAAAGAATGGAAGGACTGAGTGCTCTGGGCAATTCAATAGATCTCAGCAGCTAACTTATTTCTAGCTCAAAATGCTAAAGTACTGAACAGTGAACAATCAAGGTAATAATTTCCAGTGGCAACATAAGGGAATTAGTACTGAAATAAACTGTCATTTGCCTACCCATTTCCACTTAACCTACCTTCCATACTGCGTTCAGTTATGGTAGGAATATTACAGTAAACACGAGCTTCATAAATAGGATCTATTGCAGGGGGTTCTGTCAGTGGATCGGGCATTATCCTCTTGCGGCTCTTCGGATTCAGCACATCTTCTTTGACTGGGTTGACTGGGATCAAGTGCACTGAAAGAGACAAAATTTAAAAACAGTGGTAGCCAATTATCACTACTTACCTATTCCATTATTAAGAAACATAACACACTCTATACTGTAAGAGCAGACAATTTTACCAGGAAACTGACTTCTGTGAAATCAAATCTATTGTAGACCATTGATCACTTTTTGTATTTATCCCCGTCAATGTTTTTATGTCTGTACATAATGAAACTGGCAGACTTCAAGAGAGCTCGAGTCACGTGTTGCACTTGGAGTAGTGCAAGAATCCCTGGGTATTGTGTCACCGCTTTTCCCATTTGTATGCTTTTCCTGAAAACTTCTCATTCTTTCATGGGGTGATAAAAGCATCAAAAAAAGGAGGAAATAAAAATATTACATAAGTTATTAGGGTTTAAGATAGGGATCATTATCTCCTACCTGCTCATGGTTACCAATTTCCTAAGAATAGTGTTTGAGAGATTAGATTTAACAAGCCAAGAGAGACATTCCTTGGTAAAGGCTCACTAACTCTTAGGATGTTAGGAATTCTAATATTTAGAGAAGGAAATCTGTTTTTAGTAGAGAGAACTGGAGATAAAGGACAGATTTTATTCTATTTTCTTAGGGGAGGGAATTACTATAATTTTCTCCTAATTTCTGATTCTAATGTCAGGGTCCATAACTTCAGATAGCATTAACCCTTGGCAGTAATTATCAGAAACTTTTATTTCAGAAACCTGATTCTACTGAGTCTTAGAATAAATGTTGCTTTGGTTATCTGCCTTGGGACTTGCTCAAACAGGGAGAAAATGATGGATTGTTTGCTTCATGTTTCATCATCTCCTTAGAAACACAAGGGGTCCAGAATGGCAGAAGTGGCAAGAAGAAAAATGTCAGCGAAATTAATTTTTATAATAAACAGTGGATCTCAGCAGAACCCATCTACCTTCCTGTTAAGTAC